GTTTTATATCCCCGTGCAATGCAGCATGAGACATATTTTAAGAGAAAGCTACGCCGGAAAAGTAAAAATACAGGAGCTCGTGCATTTAACATTTAATAAATAAATATCTCATAAATTATATTCAAATTTAATAAATGAAATTGACTACTGTGTTAGCTGTAACCGTAATTCTACTCTTTTGCTTTCCAGAAATCTCGAAAAAAGAGAAATTACCAGAACTCTTTCGCGACCGATTAAAACTTAGCTGTAAAAAGCTGGAAAGAGACTTCTCAGCTCAATTGTTAATTAGTTAGCGGTTCTTGTTGATTGTAGCGAATTCTCGGTGAGATTGGATTAGCATTTTCTTTGCACTACGTTGTATTCTAACGTTTTTATTAGTTTATAGGATAACTACTGATTATATTGTGCGATACTGTGATACTGTAAGAATATCTCTCAGAAAAAATTCTAGTGTTTTGTTATATTTCTTGCAATAAAAATAAATTTTATTAACCTTTTATTGGACTTGTGCATTCAATTGATTACGAACCCGTACGCACGCAACACGTTTTGATATCAAGAGTGGGGTTGAGTACCAGTAACAAGAGCGATGGAAGAACAATTAAGGCAGTTGATACCTGCATTTGCTGCATTCTAAGAAAATATGGAATCTGGTCAAGAATCAATTAAAGAGGAGATGAAAGCAGGTCAAGTTTCTGTTAAAGAAGAATTGAATGTGGGCCAAGAGGAAACGAAAAGACAAATCACGGGCATAATAGAAAACACATTTGAAGCTATGAAAGACAGAGTCGATACGGTTGAAAACAGAGTTGGAGATATTGAAGAAAGAGTTTCTGCCATTCAACAACAAATCGAACAAGTTGATGACAAGGTTTCTGCAGTTGCCGAAAACGTTGATACCTTAAAGAAATTCATAGTTACGGCAGGGAGCGATTCTGATGGTTTTAAATTTTTACCCATACCTGCTCGTCCCTCCCTAATGTTATCCACATATGATGGGAAGACCACTTTTCTATACTGGCGGATGCGAATTGAAGGGATCACCAAGTCATGGTATGTCATCTCGCCGCTTCTCTGATAGCAGGCTCAGCGGATATCCTTCAGATTCTTCGCGAAAATCCTTCGACAATTGCAGTTGCTGCATCAGTTATTACATTTTCTGATACTGGTTTACGTCCTCTCCCAGCGCGAATGGTCAATGACCCCCGTTTCCTCGAACTTCTTAATTATTTTCTTAAGACCATTCAGCGATAAAGACCCTTTACGTAATTTTTTCTGGTTCGAAATTCCCGAAGAGCTGCGGATGTATTACATTGATTCATGTAATACAGCTTCTTCAGCTGAGATTATTTGTCAGAGCTGTCTACTACTTGCTTTTATAGCATCTATTACTGGCGCTGTCATCGCACAACATTTGCATTTTTCTTTGATACCCGTGTTTTATGCTAATTCTCGTTATTGTAAGCTACAGCAGCGCCACAAAATGCCCTAGCGTCGATTTTTTGGAACTAATTTTGTTTTCACGGAATCCTTTTTCCCATGTCTTGATTAGTCTAAATACCAATTTTGGTGCCATTTCGGCTATTAGATCGCGCTACGGGGCGCTCCAAACACTGTCACTTTAAAAAAGATCATCCTGTATATTTCTCTCATTGATGAAAAGGGTTTTGTGTTATATACGATGGATTTTTAATGATATCCCTCTTGCAGTTTTTTTTTTAAATTTTAAATAAAATCCGTTGCATGAAAGAAAATTGAACAGGCCCTGGAAAACTGTTGTTGGACATTCCTTTCAGTTTCCAGTAAACGATCGATCAAATTCACATTTTAATGTTTAATGGAAACTATTCCTTATAAATTGGTGATAAAAATTGTTTCCATATCAGATATTTTTGACCAATTTGTAAACAACTTTTGTTACCAGAGTTACATATAAAATGCTGATTTGTGCACAGATGGTTAATTTTTAATGGTGATTAAATTGCAAAATTGCTTAAAGAATTTATGTGTTTCAGTAGCAGGTACAATTAACAAAAAAGAGAAAGTTATTGCCCAAAATATCATTGTAACAACTGCCTGCTTAAGTATAAACAACCAAAAGCTGAACCCAAGTGTGTTGACTTATATATTTACCTAAAGATAAATATTAAAAATGGGCAGATAATTACTATTTTTAAGCTCTTTTTTTTTTTCCCAGCTGGTAATGAATTGTGTGCTAGTTCAACAATTTTGAATTCAGTTTTGAATAGGCATTAGTTTCTCCATCTAGGAAGCGGTGTAGTGTTTTGAATAAAGCTAAATAATAATAATTGCTTACCAGTTTACATTTGTGGATAACTCTTTATTATTATTATTTGTCCACTGGCCCGAGAGAGGGCGCTACGAGCTTTTTTCCTCTTCTCCACTAGGGGATTGGATTGGATTATTTAATTATGGCAAAGCACACGAGGGCTATCTGCCTAAAGGGAGGAATGCCTTCGGGATGGTCTTTCTAAGGGAAACCGGCTCGTATACACGTTACACATGGGGAAAAACACGAAAACGCCCATGCAGCCAGCCCGTTCGTGGGATTCAAACCTCGGACCGAACTACCAGTGTTCAGCGTCTTTACCACTCGGCCGCTGGTGGGCCTCTATCTCCACTAGGCGAAAATTCAGACTCGTTACTCTGTTCCTGGCTGCCGTTCGTGAAGCACGCGCTCACCTCTCTTCCGCTTCACTTTCATGATTTTTCACCTACGTGGACTTGTTAACTATAAAAATGCTCATCGTGCGAACTGTAATCACTGTGATTGTGTATCAGTGAACGTGTGTTAAAATATATACCTTTTTCTAGTATTAAGTAAAAATGTTAGTATTACCGAGCCAAGCAATCATCTTTATATCTACAGCAACAACACACGCCACCAAAAATGGCATCCGTAGACGAAAGCCATACATTTCTAATTCAACTGCAATTAAAAATTGTACTGTTTTTTTGGGGGGTGCACTTTGCTTAATTCATCTAATTTTAAAATCTAGCTATCATGACGGTGAAAATTCTGTATCATTTCTTCAGCATGTTCCTATTTAAAAATTGCTAGATTTAGCTCATAAATACTATTCCAGTATTGAATTAATTTTCACTACGTATCCGTAACTCAAATCACTTGGATGCTGTTAAATTATTACCAAATATTTATATTGAGTTTTGAATCTTTTATTGTTTTTATGTCAAAGAATTTTTAAAAACAGGAAAGCTTCCAGAAACTTCTAATGATGAGTAACATTTATAGAATTTAGTCTTCTTTGCTAGCATAAACTAAACTCAAACTCCTAACAGACTTGCTTCATCTGAAAAGAACTATAAAGTCTTAAGAAGGTCTTAAAACAAAAGTTTTTATTAAATCAGAATTGGAACATAAATGCACGACTTGTGCTTATAAATTAGCCAACCATTTGTGGCGATGTAACTTAAAGTAACAGTAATTTCAAATTTTAAACGTAGTAGCTAAGGGCTACACTATGATTTTACGTGAATTCGAAGAATACGGTCTTACCTGAGCTAGATAACCTAGTAACGTGGCGTCGAGAGGCAGAAACACGCTCTGTCTTAAAAATCCGAAAATCTCACCTTACGTGCTCTCGAACTAATTTGCATTCTGCTAGGAAAACGAAAGGAGAAGTGATAGTAAAGATCTAAATCATAATTATTGGTCAGATAAATATAATGGAACTTTATACATTATTTTTTCACCGAAAAAGATAATTTTAAAAGTCAGTTACACTCATCAATAGTTGAAATAAATAAGTTGTAAGGTATATCCTAATTTTATAACAGTTATTTATAAGTTAAAGCACCTTTCCTGTCTCTTCAAGCTTCAGCTTACAATTCCTTACCAGAATGAGTTTTTAGAATCGCGTTAAGTGCAAATGAGTAGTAGAGAGTATTTAAGTTCATTGACTTCGAGAGCGAGTTAGGATTCCTGAATAGTACGCGTTTGCCTTTTGGCTACGTCTCTCTAACTGTTACGACGCTCGGCCGTATTACGTGCCTTTTGATAGCTTCGCTAGTTAATTTAATATTATGGGCCAACTAGTTTAGAATTTGTTTAGCCTTCGGATAAATCTCTTTAGTTAGCCATTAGTTAGTTCTTATTTCTTACATTTTTGAGTTTAAGCCCAAGGGAAGGCTTTGTTGTACGTCCTAAAAAAGGAGCCATGTGGGAATCCTTATTTTGAGCAATAAAGGGTAATTAACCCTTCTTGAGTTTACATTTCTGTTCCTGGACTTAAGCGATTATTTGCTTAATAAGTTCACTAGGTTCCTCAACACTTAGTTAATAGATAAAAGGGAGGAGCATTACAAAGTTGTTTGGTAAAATTTCTAAAGAAACACCAAGTCTCTAAAGAACTAATAAGTTGTTTCGTAAAATCTCTAAAGAACTAATGCTTTAAAATTTTATTAAATAAATGTTCCCATTAAAAAGGATAAATGGTTTAATACACAAAGTAAGGTTATTAAAGTAATTCAGTTAAAGAACATTCCTAAGTTTAGCGTTTTGTAATGTTGTACAAAACTTTTTTTTTTAACTTGTGTTTGAAAAATGCCTAAATTTTGGAAGGGTCTTCTTCTGCAAGCCACTCGTAGTCTTTATAATTTTTACTTATGATTTCTGATTTTATATAAAAATAGTTTTTGTATCATCATTATTTATACAATAAACGGCTATTAAAAGTATATATGTATCTTTTTGGAAAGAAAAATAGAAAAATATTTACATTAGTATTTTCAGAGTTAGGGAACACCATTTTAAAAATGGAGTTATTGCATTAACATTTTATGAAATATATTTTAATTACCATATCAGTTTCCAGTTTATAGGTTTTTAGCTGGAAACTGATTGTAGGTGTTAAATATAGTGTGCTATTTTTAGTTAATGTGTTTTATTTTGTTTTTAAATCGGTAGTCTGTAATCATAGCCTTAGATATAAGCTGTAACTGCATTGTAATTTTGAAAGGCTTTTAGGTCATGGAGAAAAAAGAAGGATGAGATATTAAAAGAACAAGCTATTAAAAAGAAAGAAGATGAAATGAAAAAACAGATGGATGCATTGGTGACTGAGGAAATCCGGAAGCAAGATGCTCATTCTGCATACGCATCATGGTATGTCTGCTGTATCTAATATTTATGTATTTTTATTGCAGCTTCTCATAGGCTCCAGCTACCTTGAATATGTACTGCCATTAACAGCGGCAAAGAAATTCTGTCATTTTTCAGCACCATGAATGGTTAAATGGAATGGTCAATGGATGACCTGAGATAACTGCTACTTGGACCATGCGTGAGTTACAGAGAGGGTTGACATATTTTGATGCTTAAATAAATCATACTGTTCAGGTCACATAAAAGGATTAAGCTAACGTTTTCTGGTTAAGAACTTTTGGCATATAACTAATCTAATATATCCCATGAGATGCTTTCTGTGCATCACAGAGTCATTTCACAGATTATTAGTATATCTCATTTATCAGCCGACCAATGATTGAATGAATGAGACTGCTGAACAGTGGTAGTTCAAATTTCAGCAATGGGCTGGCTACTGAGCGTTTTCTTAGTTTTCCTTTTGTGTAACTTTAATATGAAAGAGTTTCCATTTGAAAGTTCTCCATGAAGGCATCTTTCCGCTTAGACGAATAGCCTTAGTGTCCCTTTGCCATAACAGACTGTCTAGTCCAATCCAGTCTTTACTTTATCATTCATGCGACCTGTCAGATGATCAGTTCTGAGAGTCCTTGCTATTTGAGTGACAGAAGATCTTTAATTTATCTTTGAACCTAAAAGTATACATAGCTTAACGAAGCAATTCAAAAACAATATGTTTTGCCTTACTAAATATGATATAAGATTATAATAAATAATTTCATCTTTATTCATTTTATTAACATGTCTAAGTAATATAATTTATATACGTCTAAATCATGTGATGTATAATATACTCATAATATGGAATTTTAATAAGTTTTAACTGTGATATTTTTATACAGTCAAAAGTCGTTAATTCGGACACCCATAATCCGGAATGATCTATAATCCGGACCTCAAAGCTAAAATCTTTCTGCGCATGCGCATTAGCGTTCTTTCGATTATGTCAAATAGAATTTCCGATGCTGGAGCTCCCAAAGAATCTACAAAACGAAAAGTATGTTTCGATGTCCATCAAATAAAAAGTGGAATTGCTACAAAAAATGGATAAAGGCATATCTTTTGTTTATCTAACCGTTCCGAAATCTGTTTATCAATTTCACGCTGCTCTGCGCGGTGGGGGAACGTCGCGGCGCGCAATGAACTGGAAGTTGATCTGTCAGCACTATCGTTATCTTCAGGGCAGATGTTTTTATTTTATTCGGCTTATAATTCCTTACTAAATGTAGTATTTCATCTCGATGTACTCCGTCTTTGATATGATTTAAATCAAATTCCTCGTCATTATAAATATCACGAATACAAATCAAATAGTTTTCCGGCGAAGGAATCCGGTGAAACATCAAGCACCTGAAGTACCAATGGAGATTACCCAGACCAACAAGTTTGAAGCGCTGGAAAGCACGAGCCAGGGAGGAGAGGAAGGAGGAGCGTCAGCAGTGGAAAAGAGTCCGCCTTTTGTGTTCCCGAGTGATACGCCTGATTGGCTGAAAATTGATGAACTGTTTGCTAAGAGTTGCCCAGAAGGCTATGAATCCAGTGTTAAGTTCAGAACCATTCACGTCTACGTGATGCAGACTATCAAAGCCTGAAGAAAATACTTAAGGAATGGGACACGGCTTTCCATACTTATCAGCCTCACCATGAACGTCATCAGGGTCATTTTGATGGGGCTGAAGGACTCCGTACTCGCTGATTTGGGTAGAGGAAAATTTCCTGCTATTAAGGTCAAACAGTTTGAAAGCAGTAAAAACGGTGTGAAAATCAAGCTGCCGATATATTTCGTGGAGCTCAGACGGAATAAGGAAGGAAATCAGATATTCCAATTGAATAATGTTTTCAACTTCGAAGTTCGAGTGGAGAAATATAACCCGAAGAAAAGGCCTGTGCAATGGTTTTCGTTGCCAAGCCTTCGGACACACGCAACACCTCTGCAATAATCCTGAGAGATGCGTCAAGTGCGGAGGACCTCACAGGAGCAGTACTTGCTTGAAAAAGCCGGAAGATAAGTCCCACTGCATTTTCTGTCAAGGGGACCATGTTAGTAGTTTCCGTGGTTGTGCGGAGTACAAGAGGAAGTTCAAAAAAGGAAAAAATCCAGAAATCAGCGGAACTTCCCTCCCCCAGATGCCTCACGAGAAAATTTCCCGGAGTTATCTAAGTCCGTTCCTCAGCAGACCGGAACCCCCGGTTTTTAGGGCCGGATATCTAAGAACTGCTAAAAGTTTTCTCAGAAATTCTCGGTTTCCTTCGGAGTACCAACTTAGCGGGAAAATTGAGAGGAATACTTCAGACCGTGCAGCAAATTATGCAAATGACCAGCAGTGAGTAAACTTTTATTTACTTCTCACTTCTTATGGACTTTTTGAATATCGCAGCTATCTACATGTTTCTTGCTTACTTGTTCGACGACCCTCTTGCCTTCAGTTACTAAGTGTTTGCCTCTTTAAATATCTGTTATCCTTAATTTTAAATTTTTAGCTTAACTACTCATCTTTAATTACCAACAGCTTTAATCGATTTTATTTCTTCTTTTCACGTTCGAGGAAACAAATTTTTTGGCTACTGTTTAACGCGAATCGAAACGTCTAAAATTGTTCTACAGGGAGTAGGGCCTTCGGCCCAGGTACCCCGGGTGTAACGAAGCACCGCTCTACTAAGAAGGTGAAATTCATATCATTTCCGGCTGTGCTGCATGCTTCGCTCCTGCTTTCACGCTTCCTGTTTGAATCAAGACTTGTTATTTGAGGTAAGTGTTTTATCATAGATTATGTTTGCATTCGTAGATTCTATGTTAATATTTAGTTTATTTTTATTAGATATTATACATAGTTTTATTAGATGTTCATATTTACTTTTGTTACAGAATATTTTCTCTTTCTAGACCTCTTTTAAATTAATTTTATTCTGTATTTTTCGCTACTTATAGATTACATTTATCGAGATTTTATCAAAATATGATACCTAATGTAAATTTTCTTCGTTAAATATTTTTTAACTTAACGATGATCTTATGTTTTCATGTAAATATTAATCGCATTTCTTAAATCATCTGTAGCATGCTTTGTTTTTCGTAATGTAATTCTTCTTAGCTAAATTAATACTTCGTGTTTTCACGGGAATTTTATCGCATTTCTGAAATTATCTGTAGCATACTTTCTTTTTCCTAATGTAATTCTTATTAGTTCATTTAACGATACTTCATGTTTTCATGTAAATATTATCACATTTATTAAACTGATGATTTACATATTCCATTCTTTTTATCCTTTTTATCTTTTATCTTTTATTTTTTTATTCTTTTTATCTTTTATCAAATCCTTTTAGATTAGTTTATTTTATTTTTATTATTGTAAGTAGATTTATTTTAAGTTAATATTATTATTTTAACTTTCCTGATCATATTTATTTTTTTAATATTTATACCAGTAATTCCGTTCCTCCCAATAGTTTTTCATGAACATTCAAGTTTTTCATTATTTTTTTCACTCATTTCTGAAATTATCTGTAGCATACTTTCTTTTTTCTAATGTTATTCTTATTAGTTAACGATACTTCATGTTTTCATGCAATTATTATCGCATTTATTAAACTGATGATTTACATGTTCCATTCTTTTTATTTAACGATCAAATCCTTTTAAAATTATTTTATTTTATTTTTATTATTGTAAGTAGGTTATTTTAAGTTAATATTATTATTTTAATTTTCCTGATCATTTTTATTTCTTTAATATTTATACTGGTAATTCTGTTCTTCCCAATAGTTTTTCATTATTTTTTTCAGATGGAACATACACCCGAGACTGTGTTTTTAAATCACGAGGATGCTCAACCACAAGGCAATGTAAGTATTTTTCTTTTTTTTTTTTTTTTTTAGATGATATGTTTGAGAATTTTTTGAGTTATAATACTTATTTTTGTACTTTTATATTTTTAGATGGATCCTGAATATGCATTTGAACACGAAGACATGCCTCTGGATGATCAAACCATTCCTATTATGGATTTTGGTGATCTTACATCATCACAGTTGGATTTACCTTTCGCTGGCACCCCAGATTTAAACATTGCACATCGAGTGAGTATAATAAAACCTTTGCATACCAGAGAAGCTTGACAAGACATATAAAAGTGCAGCATTCAATTCCAAGAAACATTTGTGCCATGTGCAAAAAGGAGTTTTCTCGCAAGGATAGTTTAATGATGCATATGAAAATGCATTCAGAACCCCAGAAATCCGCGCCATCTCGCTCAGTGAAACGAGCAGCTCCCCGTGCCACTACGCCCGCCCCTAAACGACCACAGCAAGAACGTCCACCCTGCCTTGGTACGTTTGCTACGGAAATCATTTATCCTAGTGAAGAAACCAAGAATGACTTACAAGTGTTTTTAGAGTTGTCAAAAACTGAAGTTGCGGGAAAGATTCAAGAAACTGCCGCACAGCGCCAAGGTATGAAATGGTACTTGAATGCTTGTGTGAAGATGGTCAGAAAAGTGTCAGAGACCGAGCAGGAAACATGCACCCCTTTTCTTTCGGTCCAGATGCAGCACTACGCTCACAGGAGAAATGCCCGACATGCAAGCAGCTTTTGAAAAGGTAAGAAAGTTGATTTTATTTGAATTATATATACAGAGTACAAAATAAAAATTAGTAATACTCATGAAATGTTTTACAGGTTCTGAATTACTTGGACAAATTTCTAAAAAAAGGTTCAGGATGGGTTTAGACTCCGTCCAATACATGGAGCTCAAGACCGCTGTCTACAAACCCCTGACGGCCTCTTCTTACATACCTCTGCCGAAAGCCTTAGCCAGTAAGAAGGCTATTCTCAATATACAGAATGAAGACCACAAATGTCTGATCCCTTCAATCCCGTTGAAGATTTTCATGATCATCCATACAGGGTATCTCACTACAAGCCCTATGAAAGAGAAATCAATATAGATGGTCTCACTTTCCCTACCCCGATTCACCAGCTCGACAAGTTCGAGAAAATGAACAATCTATAGATCAACGTGTTCGGTTGGGAAAACAATGAGATTTTACCTCTTCGGATCACCAAGTGTCGAAATGGTAATTTATTCTTATTTTGTAAACTTTATTAGACATGTTTTAAGTTGTTGAATTGTTTTATGGAATGATATTTTTCTTCTGTAGGTGATCGTCATATCAATCTGCTGTTCATTTCCAATGACGAGAAGAGACATTATTGTGGCATCAAGAACATGTCTCGTCTTTTTGCAGGCCTCACGAAAAACCAACAGGAAAAATTTTATTGTGACCATTTCCTTCTCCGATTCATAAAGAAAGAGACTACAAAAAATTAAAATGCCTAAAGATAAATGGTTAAAATTTGACATGCACCAGTTTCAGCTTCCTGTCCCTTATATCATCTATGCCGACTTTGAATGCATTTTAGTAAAGCAAGCTACCTGCCTACCAGATCCTTCGAAGTCCTCCACCACCCCTGTAGCTGACCATCTTCCTTGTGGATATTGTTACGTGATCGTGGGACCCTACGGTTAATTTTATAGGGAACCTCAAGTCTCTAGAGGAAAAGATGCCGTCAACCATTTTCTAGAGTCTTTACTGGAAGAAGAAAGGGGCATCTTTGAAATTTTGAAAACTGTAGAGCCCAAGATTTTCTCCAAGAAAATCAATTGGCCTACGAATCTGCCTTTGAATGTCATATCTGTGAGAAGCCATTGAATGAAGATAAGGTAAGCATTATTCAAATATTATAATTTCACTCAGTAATGTAGTTTTGTAATAATGTGTTTTAAAATAGAAATTTTAATTTTTCTCCCCAGGTGCGGGACTATTGCCATCTTACGGGAGTCTACAGAGGAGCAGCTCATAATGGATGCAACATCAATTTGAAATTTGCAAATTTTCTGCCCGTGGTCTTCCATAATCTGAAAGGGTATGACTCTCACCTCCTGATGCAAGCGGTAGGAAAATTCAAAGACGAAGAGATTAAGTGTATTCCGCAGAATTCATAAAAATTCATCTGTGTTTCTTTGGGTCGTCTACGCTTCATCGATTCTCTGCAATTTCTGAATGCTTCCCTAGACAAGCTCACGGCTGATTTGGAGCCAGAACAATTCCAACTGACAAGAAAAAAACAGATCTGATGCTTCGAAAAGGTAATCAGAATTTCTATATTATAACTTTTTATATACGGTAGTGTATTATTACTTTTTATATAGGTTATTTATCTTAAAAAATAATAAAAAATAATAAATTATAACAATTTTTTCCAGGTGTCTATCCTTATGAGTATCTAGACTCGTTTGAACGATTTGATGAGCTGCACCTTCCACCTCTCACTGCCTTCTACAGCCATTTAACAGAGAGTGATAATATCAACGATGAGGATTACCAACATGCGAACAGAGTCTGGGAAGAATTCGGATTACATCATCTAGGAGACTATCATGATCTCTATGTAAAAAGTGATGTTTTGCTTCTCGCTGACATCTTTCAAAACTTCAGACGATTGTGTCTTGATTTTTACAAACTGGATCCGGCACACGTCTATACAGCCCCTGGTCTGGTCTGGCAAGCTGCATTGCGCATGTTCGACATCCAACTGGAGTTACTCACCGATCCTGATATGTATCTCTTTATAGAAAAGAGCATTCGAGGTGGCATCGCTATGATTTCACATCGCTTCAGCCAAGCTAATAATAAGTATATGGAAAATTATGACCCAACGAAGCCATCATCTTTATATTATGTATTTGGATGCCAATAACCTTTACGGGTAAGTATCCTTCTCAAATGTTTAGATATAATATTTTCTCTATTATTTACTTGTGATATTCATTATTTTTATTCTATCTTTTTAGATGGGCCATGAGCCAAGCTTTACCAACCCATGACTTCCAGTGGCATGACGGACTTCTTCATGGAGATGGTTGACGATGCGAAAGAAGGATGTATCCTAGAAGTTGATCTGGAGTATCCAAGGGAACTTCACGATGCTCATTTGGACTATCCTCTTGCTCCCGAACAAGTCGTCGTGACACCTGATATGTGGTTCATCGAGCAGTTCTACCAAACTGGTGCCAAATCTGCGACCTAAGCATCCGTACGTGATACATTACCGAAATCTAAAGCAATATGTTTCACTGGGGCTTCAAGTGACCAAGATCCATCGTGTGCTGACTTTCAAACAATCTCCTTGGCTTGCAACATACATTGAATTCAACACTAGGCAACGTAAACTGGCTAAATTTTCATTTGAAAAAGATTTTTTTAAACTTTTAAACAATTCAGTTTTCGGAAAGACCATGGAAAATTTCAGAAAACGTACCTGCATTGATCTGGTTCATTGAGAGAAACGAGCCAAGAAGTTAGTCGCTGCTCCAACATTTCATTCCTTCAAGATCATCACAGACGATCTGGCTGGCAGCCATTGAGCGACGAAACACCAGCTTAGTTCTGAATCGCCCTATCTATGTAGGCTTTAGCATCTTGGATTAATCAAAAACGTTAATGTATCAATTCACGACGGATATATCAAGAAAACATACGGATTAAAGGTCCATTTATTATTCACAGACACCGACAGTCTTTGTTACAAAATATAAACTGCTGATATTTTTCAAGACATGGGCGACAATCTCAACTTATTCGATACCTCAGATTACCCAGAAAATCACCCTCTGTATAGCCTTACCAATAAAAACAAGATCGGTAAAATGAAAGATGAACTATCTGGACAAATTGCCCAAGAATCAAGCCAAAAATGTACAGCCTACTCAGTAACTGTACTGAGAAGAAAACTGCTAAGAGCGTATCGAAAACCATCTTTAAAAGACAGATTCGTCATGTGGACTACGTTAACTGCCTTTTACAACAACAACGCGGTCTTGCCCATGCGCCAACGTATTGCCAGCCATAGTCATCAGATAAAGACTTGGCCTATACAAAAGCTACTTTGTGTCCTTTCGATACGAAACGGTATCTTTTAGGCGATGGGATATCGTCTTATGCATACGGGCATTATGTCATATAACTTCAAATTCTCTGTATATTCAATCAAAATTCTAAAGTATTTTATTTTGGAAATTTATGATGTAAATAAGTGTAATCATATGTCTTTAAACTTTAATAAATGTTTATTTAAATATATTATAAGGTATTTTTCCCACTTCCCTAGCGTGCCTTCGTCGTGTAACGGTAGCACGCTGGGCCAGTATTCCAGAGGTCCGTGGTTCGATTCCCAACGAAAGACGATTGCTTATTTTTCATCTTTTCTGCTTCCAATTAACCTAATGACTATACAAGTGGCGCCTGAACTAAAAGGGTTGTGGATGATGATTCTCCGCACCCAGGATTTGGCGACTAAGTCCCTTAAAATCCTAGTCGCCCTTTAAAAAGGGGAGTATATAAGGTATTTTTCCACTTCCCTAGCGTGCCTTCGTGGGGTAACGGTAGCACGCTGGGCCGGTATTCTAGAGGTCCGTGGTTCGATTCCCGGCGAAGGCGGTTGCATATTTTTCATCTTTTCTGCTTCCAATTAACCTAATGACTATACAAGTGGCGCCTGAACTAAAAGGGTTGTGGATGATGATTCTCCGCACCCAGGATTTGGCGACTAGGTCCCTTAAAATCCTAGTCGCCCTTTAAAAAGGGGAGTATATAAGGTATTTTTCCGCTTCCCTAGCGTGCCTTCGTGGGGTAACGGTAGCACGCTGGGCCGGTATTCTAGAGGTCCGTGGTTCGATTTCCGGCGAAGGCGGTTGCATATTTTTCATCTTTTCTGCTTCCAATTAACCTAATGACTCTACAATATTATTTCTTGGTTTGTACTTTAAAAAACTAAATCTTCAGTAAAGAGAGAGTTCTCTTAATGTTTTTTAAGAAAAATATTTAACAAATTAGAATATTTTAATCAAGTTACAATAATTAATCTAATAAGGTAGAAAAAATAATTTTAGTTTTATCAAAAAATGAAAAGTTAGAAAAATTAAAAATCTAGTGGAGCAGCTATAAATAGAATTGTTTTTCGAATAAGAATTTAGTTAAGATGGAACTGTTAAAATTAAAGCATCCTTTCACAATGTTAGCTGCTGGTCCTAGTGGCAGCGGAAAAACCATGTTTATTAAAAAATTAATGGATCACCAAATGATCACTCCTTTTTCTTTCAAAATTAGATATTAAATAAAACAATGTTAACTTGATATATGTGTCTTTATTGTGTTCTTAGGAATAAGATACTTTCCCGAAATTAAAAATAATTATGATGGCTAAAAAAGATTTTTTCTAAGACGGAAAAAGTTTTATTTACAGTTTTTCTAAGATGAAAAATTTCAGTTTTTGTTAAGATGAAAAATGTTCAGGTTGAAAAAGTTTCTTTTGGGTGAAAAATCTTTACTTTTATTTTGTCTATGGGAAAACCCATGTTAATTTCAAAATGCAAGGGGAAAAAGTTACACTTTGATTTTATAAAGTCGAAAAATATTCATTTAGATTTTTTGGGGGTCGAAAAATTTTCACTTTATTTTTTTAGGGAGGAAAATCTCCACTTTTATTTTGTCTATGGGAAAACCCATGTTAAATTCAAAATGTAAGGGGGAAAAGTTAAACTTTACAAAGTCGAAAAATATTCAATTAAACTTTTTTAGGTCGAAAAGTATTATTTATGTTGTTCTTCATATGAAAAAATTTCATTGTCATTATATTTAAAACTCAATATGCTTTTATATAAGTTGAAAAAATTATTCAGTCAGAAAGATAAAACACAAATGAAAAAATACATTTCAAATATTTTATTGTTTAAAAATCATTCTTACACCATAAGCTTTTTCACAAATTGATACAAGTTAAAATCACTCATTTTACATAAATTTTCAATAATGGCATACAAAGATTGGCCTTCTTTAAGATCTTCGTTTAAGTACATAATAAATACAGTATGCTCCACATACATTAGAAGTTATGCTCTGTAATGGAATATTATTTCATTTTACATTTGAATACTGAAATCCATAAACATCTGGAGATTGTCCATAAGAATAAAAAATTCTAATTCTTCATCTTGAAAAAAGGCTACCCAATGCGCTCCGGGTTCTGTGGACTTGTCTATATTCACAACGATGGCTGATCTTCTAATTAAGGGAGGTATTTTATCTGCTGGATAAATAAACTCCTCGAAAGACAGCTGCTGCTTCACGAGATAAAATGTTTTGTATAATACGACCATCCATCAGTTAAAGTCAAAAATGATGTTCCTCGATTTATTAATTTCAATCACGTTATCAAATTCTGAAGAGATAATCACACACACGGTTTGCTCGAGAGATTGGCTGAACTTTAACTTAATCCGTAGATTAGAATGCTTAATGAAATTCATATGCTCTCCATCACAAAGATCTGGCGATTATTCGAAACCAAATAACACGTTATCTTGTAAATAGTCTTCTCTCGAGATAAAAATGCCTTTATCTTGCTGAAATTTATTGAAAAACAGGCTATGATAAGCTCGAATAGTTGTTATCAAAATTTGGTTCCAATGGATTGTAAGGCACAGGCTGTCCGTCGACGTACACTCCAATGAAATTCAGGTGATAATGTTTCAACTCAAATGGTGATTTGGCAAAATTTCCGTGAAAAGCGTCATTATCAACACATCCAATTACAATTCTCTGAGGCATCTGACCAACAAAAACATTGTCTTGTATCAAGGACATGCTATTTTGGGGAATGAAATAGACTCTATTAATAGGATACTTGGCATTACTCTTCTCAACGCTTTGGCATGACCTAGATACATGTTCTAAAACCACTTTATGACCTGCTTTTCCTTGCAAACAAAACTCCAGGCTTGCTTCTTATGAGTTAATTTGTTAATTTAATTTAACATCCACCATATTTAATAAAAGCTTTTCTTGGTGAAATAAGTCAAAATGAATGCCACCAATCATATCAACAATAGAACTCAGTTTGAAAAAGGAAGATCGCTTTTCTAGATGTTTGTCATACATTTCAGCTATCAATTTTGAAGTTTTACTATCACAGCCGCGATTGAGCAAAGTTTCAATATAAGCTCTATAGGGATGTGTGTTACTAGAAGAAGACATCAGTCGTTCGTTTAATGTGACATCCACCTGAGAAAATAAAAAATGCAGGAACAAATTTACTGGGCCATCTTTATCCAGAGGTGAACCATCCGTTTTTATTATTTTTGCTCTCACGTAGAGTTGTGTTTGTGACAGGTCAATATAATAATCTTCTCCACTGCCTGAAATATGGAATTCTACGGGACCTCCGTCAAATACATTAGATAGAGGATGAAACTGAACCCATTGACCGCTTTGAATCGCCGTTTGAGTTCCAGGTAAATGAAAAAGTTCTAATTCGGATTTAACACACTCAGGGGAATCTTTCATGATAAAAGCCATTATGAATTGAAAATATCACGTCTTCTCTTCTTCGCAGCTTTCGGAGAAATGAAGTGTTTTGACTGTTTTCGCTTCCTTTTATACTTGCCACTACCAACCATGGTCTGGGCTTTACGAATAGCTTTTGCCGCTAATACTTTTCCCGCCTCTCTGGCTCTTTGTTTAGCAGCAGACTTAAATGTTTTCACCTGCCAACACATCATTTGCGATGAGAGCTCCGGTGCGCAAAGCTTCTTTTACCACCGTTTTGGCTCCTTTCACAAAGACATAGCAGAGCGAAATAGACTGAAAAATACCTCGAGACTATAGCCCTTTTGATAGGGTTGACCTTGATAATAAGGAAGTCCCGAGCCGATTTGATAATGATTTTCTTAATTTTGAGTACAGCATTCGTATAGTACGAGCATCTTGATGTCTTTTTTACAAATAAAACTTTCCCTCGTCTGTTGTCATATTTATAGGATTTGTCGCCTTCGGAAATGAATAACAAGAATTAATTTACCCCTCTCAAAAGGAACGAATGTACCCGAATTGAGTCGGATTTCCATTTCGATTGTATTAAATGAATTTCCTGCTACTGGTACATAATGCGGTCTGTCGTATTGTACATTTACGGTATCACCATCTTTTCGGTAACTGTTACGACTTTTAAGAGGGGAGCTTGCACATTACCAACGATCTGAGGCGAAACGATGCCACTATACACATAAAGTAATGTATAAGCAGAATGCAGATCACTCACATAAGGACTATTCCAAGTACCTTCGACAATCTGCGTTTCGAAGCCTAATAAACTTGCCAATCCCGAATCATAAAAGATTGACCGAGCTCCATTTTGCGTGACAATTTTCACTCTTTTTGTTGAACGATTATACTGTAAAGATATTTTATCTTTAAATGATGCTAAAGGCATGGCCTTTAAGAGATCTGGGACACTTTCATAACATCCTGGTGGTATTTTTCTATTGGCAATTTCCCTTACACCTGAAGGGTCACCCAAATCAAAGCCAAAGAGATTGTTATCTTTGTTAATATTGTACCAGGTATGTGGGTAAATGATCTCAGAAAGACCAACTTCCCATTCCCCGTTCAAAGATATGGGTACAGGCAATTGAGTAATGAAATGAGAGATAGTATTTTCTGGAAAATAACGTTGAGAGCTATCACTAGGTAACGTCATATAGAAAGACATCTTGGCAAATGACGATTCTTTATACGATGTGGAGTTTTTATATTCTTTTCACATCGGTCACCCATGCATTAAATTTTGGTGGATAACCTAAGAATTTCACATAGTATTCCGTCACACCGTTTCTCTTTCTTTCTCGCAACACTTTTTCAACAGGATAATATCCCGAATCTGAAATTTTTTGCAGTTCCTTTTCGTAAAAGGTTCTTTCAATGACTTCTCCGGCGAGGTCTTTAAGTCGATAAACAGGTGGATTTCTAGGAAGGATTTCATGGATCGTAAATATTTCTCTTGTCCAGTTACTTTCATAGCCTTTTTCAAAAATCATTTTTAATTTGCTAATGCGAACTGTGTCTCTCACTTTGAACTTAGGTTGAGGTTTAGGTAGGTCTTTATATAATTGATTCCACACTTGTTTCTCATTGTGTTTATTGACATTCGCTGTTTCATTTTGAATAGAGTGATGCCAAGTATGATTATAACTGTGAATTAATTTATCTATTACGTCAATAGAACGATATGTATTCATTTCACTGAAGTACTTCCACATTTTGCTTTTGAGAGTTCTGTGGAATCGTTCGATGATGCTTGCTTTCACTGTACTGTTCTCAGTTGTGAAAAAACGAACTTTTTCTTTTTTAAGATAAGTTTGAACGATTTTATTTTTATATTCTTTACCTTTGTCAGTCTGTAATACATGTGGTTTTCTTTGGCTAAAAATATGTTCGAGAGCTGATTTAACACTCTGACCTGTTTTGTCTTTGAGTGGAATAGCCCAAGCATATTTGGAAAACACATCAATACATGTTAGCAAATATTTATATCCATCGTTGTGTTTGGCAAGAGACTGCATATCTGCCAAATCAGATTGAAACTGAGCGTCGATGCCTCTGACGAGGACGCGATTGCGACGAAAATGTCGCTGGGTAGGCTTGTGCAAAGTATATGACTCTTTGCTGGTAAGCCAATTCTTGATCGTCTTGTGACTTTCTTTGCCTTTTAAAGCACGATGCAAAGCACTCACTCCACCAAAACTGGCGGGAAGGGCTGGATCGCGATACATCTGAGTCAGATTCATGGTATGTACAGCAGTGATTTTTACTAATAGAAATGTGAACGCTCATTTATAGTTTTCTCTAAATTTATAGTTTATTTATAGTTTTTTTTCTAAAACATACAACCTCTTATTTCTATATCAATCCTTCTTATGAACGGAAAGCAAATGTGTATGAGTATTTATAGTGTTCCCTTAATTTTATATATTTATTTTTAACTTAATTATGAGACAGTAAAGAGACCATTATAAACAAATAATTTTATTTACTTTTTTAAACATTCATAATATTCAATACCATAAGCACCATATTTTCCAAATTGGTAGGACAAAATGTTTCTTTCACTTCATCAAGTACATGTTTGAGACAAACAGATTTTAAAAAGTCTTTTGTGATATAATGTGCTGGTTTAATCAGAAGTAAATAAGGCTCTTCAGTCCATACATTTCCATAAAATTGCTGGCTATGTCGATAGAGTTTAATTTCAGAGCCAAGGAGTTGATAGTTTCTGTTTTATGAATAGCGAGCTCTTCACAGTTCTATAAGTTTAGGATACTTCAAATCTCCGTGTTCTTGGATCAGCTGTTCTAGTGACGTCTTTAGAATGGTTTGAAGGCATGCTGTTCCCAAAGAAATGTCGAAGGATTCTGGAAGCTTTTCCTCGTTAATAGGTTCCTCGGATACACTTTCGTAGGCTTCACAAAAGTCCATACATTGATATACGAGGTTAGTGACGATGGTACTGATACGACTGTAATTTGTGGACAATTCTTCCCACTGGGCGATTGTAAGTCTAATATTGCTTTTCTCCACTCCTTTTACTGTTAGTTGCTTTAACGTGATGTGGTAACCATCATATTCCGCACTAAAATTCTTGGGTAGTTGCAGATTCATTGTGAACACCTCTTGTGGGCTGTGTTGAGAGAAGGTGTCCAAACACGAAGGCTCTAAATTCACACCGTTACGAGTCGGATAGTATGAACTCCCGTACTTGCTGTATTGCCTGATGTGCACGGTGATCTTTCCGTTGAAAAGAGTAGGTCCCACAAAGACATTGTTGCCAATATGTGTCAGCTCCTCTGGGATTGTGTCTTCAGTAAACCGTCCATTGCGCTAAAAGAGAAAAAATAATTATGAGTCGTTTGGTAAAAGAATAATAAAAATAAGTCTGCGTTATAGCAAGAATAAACTTACTTTCTTCTTAGATGTATTATCTTCATCTAGTTTTCGTTTGCCATTAGTGTTCCGCGAGATGGGTGTTTCTTTTGGGCTTCTCATCATGGTGTTGTTCAGAATCTGAAATCTTCAGTACATCCACGTTGAGAGGCTCATTCTCGAACTGTTGTTCCAAATCCATCTGAAAAATATAAATTCAAACTATAAAGGCAATGCAACAAATGCAGATTTTCGTACTCAAATTAAATAGTAACATCGAATATACGAACAATCTATGATAAAATACATACCTCGAATAACACGTCTTGATTCAAACAGGAAGGGCGAAAGCAGGAGCAAAGCATACAGCACGAACAGAAATGATGAAAAAGGGTTCAGTATATGACTATATAGGCCTTAGTCAGGATCCACGAGAACCAATCAGAAAGCGTCTATGGGAAGACTACTGCCCTCTAGCGGCCATTGCTGAACTTAATAGAATGTTCTAGAAGTTCTAACATGTATCTGCATGGTGCAATCATGTTGCGGATTTAGTATGACATCAGAGCAGCGGGGAGACCTACGTCAATCGATAAACATGTACATGAAACCGGATTACAACACAAATATACTTGCGACTGACGTATGTGATGACGTCACGAACAGGATGCAACACGTCCGGGGTTGGTGACGTCATCACAGTTCTAGCGCCACACAGTCCCAGCACCACAGCGCCACATGGCTCCAAACCGGTTTTTATACTTACTTATATATATATATATATGTTTAGTATATATATATATTATATATATATATATTACTTATATTATAAGTATATATATATATATAAGTATATATATATATATATATATATATATGTATATCTCTCCTTCCTTATAGCATCTCTCTCTATATACAAAATTTCAACGTTCTGAGGCTACTCGTGTTTGAGTTATGCAAGATATATACATGCGTACATGCGTAAACAAACAAAAAAAAATCAAAATGATAAAATTGCTTGTTAAATCTGAAGAATTATTATGGTCATGGTTGCCACGGTAAGGCTCATTCTGAAAATGTTGTGACTTTTATTACAGTAATATGTAAGTACTTAGAATTAAATTCAGTATTAAAGTAAGTAAGTCTAGCAAATATTATTTATATGTGTATGAAATTTAAAAAATGAAGTAACCTGATGACTCTACTAGCTTGTAGAGACATTAGGATATTTCGAAGAAGGATACTGAAAAATGAGGAATGCCCTCGCCGGGAATCGAACCTCGGATCTCTCGGAGTGTGCTGACCATTACACCACGAAGGCATGCTAAGAAGGCGGGAGAAATACCTTATATAATGTATGGAAACCTTTGTCATCTTAATAGAAATTTTAACAGTTTTGAAAAATATTCAATAATGAGTGTGGAGAATTCAAAGTATTCATACAATATTCATTCAAAGGCCTTTTACTAATCTTTCTTAAATGCAGTTGGCTATATCATACATTATACACATTATTCTCAAATAGGAAAGCACAGAAGCGAGTTATCGTGTATTTACTTCCTGACGCATAAAAGAAAGCGGAAATTATGTCACCCGCTTCTGCTGACACTGGATTCTGGAAAATAGAAGCACATCTCTAATCATTTTAAACTAGATCAATTTCTTTGGGTTCAGAGATAAATTGATAAATTTTATTGGATACAGACGGTCCACAAATCCAAAGGAGAAAAGGATTACGACGTATTTTCGTCCTACTCTTGCTTCTCGGAAGTTCAAGCATTAAGGAAAAAAAAAAGCTCAGGTATGAAAATGTTGAATAATTTTATTTTGAACCACTTATCAAAATATCTTGAGCTATTTTGAACCGCTTACTTTAGTAATCTTGAGCTATTTTGAAACGCTTACTTTAGTAATCTTGAGCTATTTTGAACTGCTTACTTTAGTAATCTTGAGCTTTTTTTATCGGAAAGGTGCATCTTAGTTATAAAAATCGACTGCAGAGTCTATTTTTTTCCCTCCGGAAGAGCACCTAGTCTCGATTTTCACTTTTTTTGTCCGTATTACTTTTCAAATTGTTGAGAGAAAATGTCATCGTAATGTACTATTTTTAAAGAAATAATACAGCGAATACAAAAGAAAAGTGTGTAGCAACACGTAATACTCTAGCGAGGATTCATAAGATATGCTCTTTTTAAATACTTTGTAGTTTTTAATGCTGAATTTTATGCGACATTAAGTACAAAGTAAGCGATTTTTAGTAATAAAGTTAAAAAGACGAACAAAGCTGTGTTAGGAGAGAGCATATGGTAAACTGCGAGCTCGGCGAGAGCATAAAAAACCTTAGCAAATACTCTAGTGCGACGTTAAAATCTGGATCCTTTCAGATAATTATTTCTTTGTAGGAAATAAAGAAAGTACTATAATCCGACAAATTTCCGGTATCACATTTCTACAGAAATATCCATTTTGACTGCTCCCAAATCCATTTTGACTTTTTTTTTTTTTTTTTTTTTTTGACGTCTGTAGATATGTTTCTTTCAAAAGGGATTGTAGATTCAAAGGGGATTTTTTTCGCGGCATCTGTACGTACGCATATGTATGTATCTCGGATAACCCAAAAATTTTTATTGCAATCGGTAGCATCAAATATACATATATAGAGAGAGATATATAACCCCTCTCTTACCCGCTTAAAATTCCTCACCCCCGCCTTTATCTTCGCAATGGTTGATCATAATCATGTACTTCCATTTATAGAAATGTTTTAAATGAAAAAAAATATTCATGTTTTGGCAATGTCAACTTAAAAAATAATAACAATAATAATTTTCGACAAATAACGAAATCCAATTTTTAATGCGGTTCCTCGGTTCTTATACTTATGTTTGAGAACGTTTTAGACTCAATAAAATAATAAGGTGGTGGACTCTCGTAGGACAAAAATTGGCCAAGACTTTTAATTTCAAAATTTTTAACTTTTAATGTCATTTTTAGTCCACTTTGAAGAAATGGTTAATTAATTGGGAATAATTCGAGGAAATAAGTTTAAATGAAGTGTGACAAAAAAAATGTGTATAGTTTATCTGTTTTCGTGGACGGAAATCTTATGGTGTCCACATGAGATTTTTTTTTTTTTTTTTTTTTTAAGTGAAAAGAATGTTTAGTACATATTTTGAGCTTTCTCAAAGCATCTAGTACTAATTCTGTAAGAAATTATCGCTTTTCTGCCGTGTATACTCTTGGGAATTCAGTAGTTAGCTCGTCCTGCTAATAGCTTTAAGATCCGTGTTTCGAATCCTGGCAAGCGCACAGTTGATTTTTCAGGTCTCCTGCTCCGCAATGTGTCTTTGATTCTCAAATCTTAGTATAATTAATCTAATAATGTACTATTAATAAACAGATAATCAATGGATCGAAATTGCACTGCGTAATAATGCAACATTGGTGTAATATACATTTGAAGGTTATCATAATTATCATAAACAAACACTGTAAACGGAAAAGTTCACTCTTTCCCCCCCCCAAAAAAAATCCTAATTTAAAATTAGTATCTAAATTCTTTCATAATGTTTAACATTTATTATTATATATGGATGATGTATAAACGGTTACAACTGAAAACATCGCACACGAAAACGTCGCGGAGAAATCAGGGCAAGCCGAAAACGCCGTTGTACAAAACATCGTGGGAGAAAATATCGTGGTCGAAAATAAAGCGGTTCAGAAACTTCGCAGTTTAAAAACATCGTGGTCGAAAATATCGTGGTAAAAAAAAAAAAAAAGGCTCCTACAAAATCATCGCAAGACGATAACATCGCACACATGCGTTTCTCAGGTTTTAAAAGTCGTAAATGCATTTTCGCATAAT